AAACCTAAAAACTAAACAGTTGTTCGCATAAATCCTTTTTAAAATGAAGTATCGAACAATGAGGGTGGGCTGAAAATTTAACTTAACCTGCATTTAAGTAGTAGAGCATTTTTTAAGGAAAAGTGCTCTTCCACCCCTAAAGCTTACAGCCGAATATGTTTTTCATGCCCATAACTATATCAATATTCTAATGACTCAACCGTTTTTTACACCGAAGATTTATACACCAACTATTTCTGTAAAAGAAATAAAATTATACGCAGCAAACACATTTGCGATATTTTTAAGACTCCCATTTAGCGCAGTCATCGGGAATGTTATTTTGTGAAGTCAGTGACATCTGGTAGCGTTAAAAGTCATTTATGTTGGGGGGAAGGGATGACTGGAAGATTTGACCAGAAACCAACACAAACAAAAATGAGGTTAATACAAAGGCTTTAAAAGTCGTACCAGTGAGCTTGTCTGACCTGTTCAAACTATGAACTCTGACAAAGCTTAAAGATGTAGTATTTAAGTATAGTATGTACCAAAACTATCTTCTAAATCTACAGCAATCTTCAACGCGCCTTGCGTTTGTCGACGATGCGTAGCTCAATTTGGCCAGCGTTTTCGGTCGAGAAAAGAGAGATATGTTGGGCAGTTGCTGTTTGCAAAAAAAAGTCTCTCGCCGGAAGAAAAAAAAACAAAGTTAATCTTTATATCCGCTGTGTTGAAGTGATTTTGAAATAAAAAAAAGCGACTGTACGATTCTAAAAAAAGATGTAACTATTGTTAAGATATTTTACCGTTATGAAAGTTGATGGTGTTAACACAAGAGGGAGTCTATTCTACCGTTAAGTTTTACGATCGTGATAATCACACCCGTGTTCCACAGCAGAGTCTATTTGGGCCCCGTACGAAAACTACGAGGAGCTTCTTTCTAACAGTACATTAGCAACATTTCCCTTCACCGGCAGTTGAAGGAAACGGATGCATATTCGTACTGGATACAGATTGGAAAAAAAACGTATGTTTTGTGGAAATATATGGATATGATGTGCGAGGATCCTCATTTTTATAAGAATGAATGGCCCCTCCGACAAAAATCACGTACACTGAAAGGTCTATCAGACTTCACCTTCTACTCGGCAGAGTAAACTTACAGAAGAGATTTACTGGGGTTTTTCCTCTCTCGAAACTGTTATGACATGATTTTCAAACGCGTTAACTCTTTATGTTCACCAAGGTATGAACAAATATAAAGCTCTACTTTGATTATATTTCTATGGAGAAATCGATTTCAATCAGCAACTGCCTAACATATAATCCTATAAATGTCTTTGATCCTGTGGCAGCTAGATCTATTTTTTTTTATTTCATTTTTGCGGGCATCCGTTCGTCACAAGGTGACAATGGTTTAGACTTCGCAGAACGAAATAAATAAGGCCTAGGATTATTCTTCAAGGATAATAAGCTGGTTCCCAACAACAGCAACTCGCCTCTTGCAATGCCACTGGATAACCCAAGGGAACACCATATGGATGATACAGCTTGGTACCAGGGGCGTCGCAAAAATTGATGAAATGTTTAATTGAACCAATGTTATTCACCTACGGGACTCCAGCTTAGGGTTTGCGTTCCATCCATACGATGATTTTTTTTTCTGTTGAGAAATCGATTTTAATTAACAACTGCCAACTATATAATACTATAAATAGCATTGGTCACGTGGCAGTTAGATCTACGCACGTTGACACAAGCTAGTACGCCCTACTTTGACAAACACAAGTAAGCCCTTTGAGACAAAAGCAAGTACGCCCACCGTTGACAAAAGCAATTGAGCCCAAAGTTGACAAAAGTAGATATGTCCACCTTTGACAAAAGAAAGTATGCACCCGTTTGACAAAAGCAAGTACGCTCTAGGTTGATAAAAGCAAGTACGTCCACCGTTGACAAAAGCAATTACACCGTAGGATGACAAAAGCAATTACGCCTACCGATGACAAAAGCATGTACGCTATAGGATGACAAATGTGGGTACGCCATTCCATTGGCAAAAGTAAGTACGCCCACCGTTGACAAAAGCGATTAAGTCCACTGTTGACAAATGTGAGTACGCCCTAGGATGGAAAAAGCGAGTACGCCCCTGGTTGAAAAAAGTGAGTACGCCCTAAGATGACAAAAGCGAGTACGCCTACCGATGACAAAAGCATGTACCCTATAGGATGACAAAAGGGGGTACGCCCACCGTTGACAAAAGCAATTACGTCCACTGTTGACAAAGGTGAGTACGCCCCAGGATGACAAACGTGAATACGCCCAGATTTGACAAAAAGAGTACGCTCCCCGTTGAAAAAAGCGAGTAAGTTTTAGCTTGACAAAAGTGAGTACGCCCTAGGATGACAAAGGAAAGGTCACCCACGTTTAACAAAAGCAAGTACGCCAACCAATGACAAAAGCAAGTACGCCAACCAATGACAAAAGCAAGTACGCCCACCAATGACAAAAGCAAGTACGCCAACCAATGACAAAAGCAAGTACGCCAACCAATGACAAAAGCAAGTACGCCAACCAATGACAAAAGCAAGTAAGTTTTCAAGATGTGGTAATTTCAGTTTTGCTAGTTTTGGCACACTCTGTATTTATGAGCTATATTTTTTCTCGTAATTCTGTCAGTTTCCAGTATGGATGGACACAGAAAGAAGTCTTGAGGAGTGCGCTCTTTGAAGCTAAAGTGCCAAAATAATTAAGAAACAGTTTTTTCTCAATCCTAGACGGAAATTGAAAATGAAAATAAAAATCATTTGAGAAACATTTAAAGACTTTTTTTTAAGAACAGATTTTAGAACATCAGAGTGCTGTTAGCATGCTAAAATAGCATCGACCACGCGCTACTAAAGTAATCAATCAATGAGTCAATCAATAAAACAGAGTTCTTTCAGTCAGTTTATGAGACTGACTGAAATGTTAGGCTGTAAAATACTTGAACGTATATTGTCCCACACAAGTGTGTCGTATCATGAAATGATGATATCATTTAACAGTTAAAGAAAACTTTAATCACAGAGCATGAGGTACTTCAGATTTTCTTTTAAAACGCTCCTTATATTTCTCCAAAATTTTAACACCCCAAACTTCAAGCCCTAATTGTATGGTCATAAAATAAGATGATTAGTGGGATTAATGAAGAGTGGAAATGTGAGAACCCATCCAGAGTTACGCCTTTAAATCTCTCCCAGAGACCATAAACCGCGTAAGGATTGACTTATCGATTAGATCTGACATCAATCTATTATAAATCAATGCATTTTACGTAAAAAAACATTAATATTCAATACATTTTCCCACAGTCATAGATAACGACGCTGTCCAATGAATCGCTTCCGTCATTTTCAAGGATACGGAACGATTTAGGAAGTTTTTGCAGATGCGAAACTGATATGTTTAAAAATCATTGATAGCCTGTTACTTTACTTTGACTTCAATATTAAAGAGTAAATTCAGCCTGTAAAATTTATGATTTATGTGATTTCCGATTAATCTAAAATTAATGAGATCGATACCAAAGATATGGATTAACGAATGATTGTGAATTTAGATAATCCAATGCTATAAAAGTGGGGATGATATGTTTTAGTTCACTCATCTCTGAAACTTCCTCTGAGAACCTAGGTGAGTCTGGGCCTGAGTCAAAACGATAATATAGTATTTAGAAAATGCCTTTACAATAATATCTCTTTTTTTTTTTGTTCGGTTTAGTTTTATCATCGAAAAAGAATTTAAATTATCATATTTATTCTATTGGTTAACTATGTGAAAATAAATCCCGTGCGGCTTCAAAAACAACTTTGTCAGACGACATTAGATTTAAGATAATATATTTTTTTTTTTATTCATTCTGTTGTTCAATGTTGTTTTTGCGTAATGAATTCCTGTGGACCTATGCTTATTGTTATGTTTAAAACTTAGTTTTCATCAGAGTTATTTGATTGAAATTAAAGTTTAAAGCATTTTACCTGCTCCATCTGTCCATCCCCATTCCGCTCCAGCCCATGTAGGGATTTCGCCTGCCTCACCAATGCCTTCCATCAAGAGATAGCTCATACTTTTGTTTTCGATGCTTGGATTCTGAGCTGCTGTCGCTCTTTCTTTCCACATCATCGATGTATCTAATCCTAATTCTACCGTTGAGGCTTTTCGTCTAGGGCTCTGATGATGCACTCTATTCACTCCTCTGTCACCTGCTCAAACGTATTTTAAATAATTTATGTAACAAGATAAGTTTGTTGCCTAAAATATTACGTTTGTATTTATAAACAAAACTCTACTTTCAAGTATTCAAACAAGGGAATATCTCATTTCTAATCATGTGTTGTTTCCCGTGTTGACTTGTCGGCTCTGGAAAGCCTGCAGTCGAAACCTCTTTTTAATAACTCGGTCGTTTCTTTTCAAGCCTAAACATGTCTTGTTCCACTATTTATTATACTTTTCACGGCCTTAATGCCGTATTTTCTGTACCCTTTTCCCTTAAAGTTCAATGAATTGTATTGAAATAAATACCAACCAGTGCAATTACAGTTTTCAATTTTAAACATTATATAAACGGTTCAATAAAACTATGGCATTATAGAAAGTGCTCATCTCTGCCATGTGTAATATAGTCTTGTTATTTTTTCTTCTTATTGTTGAAGAAGAAAGATTTGCAAAGTTATTGTGAAAATAATTAGATTTAAAAAAAATAAAATAATAAAATGCAGAACAAATGTTAAAAATACTAAAAGTTTATTAATAATTGGACGCTATAAGGTGAGGTTGATTAGTCCATACTCACAGTAGGTCTCACTGATTTTTTTCCTTGACTTAACGTCTTCATTTCGTTTCAATCTAGTTACCCAATATTGTATATGATCCCTTGATGTTTTTGTTAACACCACATCTATTTGTTGGATTGTTTAACCCATCACCCCCCTGATATCAATGTCATTTGTGTATCGTCCAATCAGCCGCTCGCAGCATAACATCAACAAAATGGCCGCCCTTCAACTGACCGTTTGCTTCGCCCTCTTGGCCATGGCCTGCGCCTTCTACACTGGTGGCTACAATGGTGGCTACAATGGTGGCTACAATGGTGGCTACAACAATAAAGGCTACAATGGTGGCAAATATGCTGGTTATAACAATGGCTACAACGGAAATGGCTACAATGGAAATGGCTACAACGGCAATAACTACAATGGCAAGGGCTACGATGGTGATGACTACAATGGCAAGGGCTACAATGGCAACGACTACAATGCCAAGGGCTACAATGGCAATGCCTACAATGGCAAGGGCTATAACGGCAATGGCTACAATGGCAACAACTACAATAATGACTACAACAATTATGGCTCAAGTAAGAAAATAAATACATTTTTGTGACAGTGATTGTTATCGCATATTATTTACTGTTATGCCGCTAGGACTTTGACCCAATGTGATCTAGATTTAATATGTTGTAGTGGGGAGTGGGTGTAACCATGAAAGGCATGTCTGGTGATCTAAACAATATAACTGTCAGTCAACTGCTACACTTGCTAGCATAGTCAAATCTCGTATCTGTAGCATGGGATCTCGTTGATAGCAGTATCACCTCGATGTGGGATCTTACTACATCTCTTGCGAAAAGCCTTGGATCTGGTAATACAATATTATGGTATCTTGTTTGAATAAAACGATTTTTAAAAAATCTCCTTTTGGTTAATGAGGGTTAGTGAGCTATGTTGTATTCAAGTGTGACTAGTCTTATTGAAGTTGAGATATTATGATATTACTTTCATTCAGCACCAACTTAAAAACAAACATATATTTGAATGAATAGAAGAAATTTTCGGAAGTTAAGCCATTGCTGTGCTACATAAGAATTCACGCTATAACAGGGCTCATTGTAGCAGATTTCTTATATTGTGTACATTTAATTTATGAATCACTTGCATGCTGAAATGTGGCTTTGGTTTTGGTTTTAAAACCAATAATTTCATGATTGTTGTTTATTTATAAACCCACAGGTTATAGGTCACTAAATTCAACATATGGAACTCCTTTGTATCGCTCTCTATAAGCTAGGCTCTACTACCAGTGTGTTTCTGTCTCTTTCTCGCTGTCTCTCTCTCACGGTAAATTTCTCCTCCTATTTGTTTCTTCTCTCTTTTAATCACTCTTTATGTTTCTCTTTTTCTCTCTCTTGTCTCGCTCATTCTCACTCGCAAGTAATCCATCTTTTCGTCCACCTCTCTTTGAGCAGCGCAATGTAACCCTGGTTACGGAAATAATGTAGTGAATATATTTAATGTTTTGGTCTGTACCCCCCTCATTACTCTACTACCAAAGACTTTAAATCTCAACATTAACATCAATTAAGTAAAGAATGAAAACTGAAGAGTGGTGCTTCACAATTCATGTTAGCGTATTTATGCTGGCTTGTCCTAGAATTCCTCTTCAGGAAGCTTGTGAATTGAACAAAGATTAAAAATATATATAATTGCGGGTAGTTTTTTTAATTTGGAATATAAAATATTCGTTCTCTTCTCTATAACATAGTAAGACACAGTATGGCAGAGGAAGACAAATTATTAAGACATAGTATGACAAAGTAAGACATAGTAAGACATGTGTAATTATAGTTTTAAATTGTCATTTCCAGTCAATTATTTCAAAGTTGAAAATAATAATAATACTTTTTTTCTTCATTTTCAGGTTATTAAAGAAGTTTAAGATTGCTGAATCCAGCTATGAGATGGGGGTCAATTGTGGACCTTTGTGATTAGCCGGACGTTCCGATTATTGACCATAGCTATAATTGGCACGCGAAAGAATTGTAAAATAAACTCCATAAAAATATATGAGTGTGTTTTTTAATGTTTTGATTTTTAATTTAAAATTATGTATGTATTTTAAACATAAAAACAATTTTAAGTCATTCATAGATAAAATTTAATACTGTGGTACCTCGAGATAATAATTTAATTCGATCTGTAACCTTGCTCGTAAGTCAATTTATTCGTATCTCAAAGCAATTTTCCAAGTTGAAATTAATTAAAATACCATTGATCCGTTCAAGCCCCCAAAATGTCACCCCAGTTACTTTTACGTGATTTTGAATAAGAAAAATGTATTTATAAATGACAAATATTGTATAAAAATGTAATAAAAGAGAATGTAAAGAAATAAACTTGTTTTATAAAGTGCCCTGCGTTAAGGTAACTCCACCAAACTGCTTCACCGTCACCCACATGATCAGCAGTGTCTCCGTTTTTTCATGGAGAGAGGTCCGGACATAGAAATTATTGTAACACTCTTAGCCGGTGTTATACCTTTTATCGACACATTTTGATAAAGCACAGTACATATCGTTGTATTGCCTCGCCAAGTCAGTCCCATGCACATCTTTCCCATGTTTTTCTATGATTTCACGCTTTAATTCAATAGAAATCAGCCTCTTTTGAGCACTGACCTTTCCACTCACTTTCTTCGGACCCATGGCTTTAAAAAGAAATGTGATAAAGTACTGTAAATGGACAAAACCACAATTCGCGAGCACAACTTATCAAAGATGCTTCGACAGCGAGGCAAACAAGTACACTGACAATGTGAGACGCACGGGGCACGACTGTTGTGTTCGTGTGCAGCCGGTCGACCCGCTGACCTAGTTCCTCGTATCTCGAATTTTTCTCGTATGTCAAAGAAAAACATCGCTCGCTCGACGGCTCGCATCTCAGAAATCTCGTATTTTAGGGCACTTTTATGTCCAAGTACCACTGTACAGCAGTAAAGGGTGTGTGATTGCACCGTCGGGGAATGCTAATACGAAGACAAGGGAGTGCAGAGGTTACAAGCTCCAGCTACGCTACTTATCTGTACATTGAAACACAAATTAGCAATATTGGTACATGTTGTGAACTAGATTGTTTTGAATGTTTGGTAGGGGGAATTTTTGATCGTGTGAGTGTTTTGTGAGTTGTTGATCGTGGTTTAGGAAACTGTGAGGGCTTTAATAGGAGTTGAGGAGCGTAGAGTTCTTTTGTTTGGCTCGGAAAAGAAGGTAACAGGGAAAATTACTTATTTTGTTAAAGAGAAAAGTGATCCTGAAAGTAATCCCGAGGAAACTATAAAAAAAAAACACGAGGCTGAGGTTGAAATAAGGAGGAGGGAGGGACAGAGGGCTGAGAGTTCAGTGGTCAGAGAAAGTGTGTATAACGTTGCTAAGGATACTGGAAGGCCTTTAGTAGAAGTTGAGGAGTGTAAAGTTATTTTGTTTGCCTGGGGAAAGGAGGTAACTGAGAAAATTACTGATTTTTTGTTGACGAGATAAGTTATCCCGAAAGTTATCCGAGGAGTGTCTTGCTATTGTTACTAAATGTATGGTCACTGAGTTTTTTTTAAAAAGAATTTAGAAGGTGGTAAATAAGGATTTAGTAAATATACATGTGAATCTTGATTTTGTACAAGATATTATTTTTAATGAACAAGATGATGATTCTGATATAGATTATAGTAAATGAAAATAAGATTTGTGATTTTGAACGGGATATTATTTTTTTTAAGAAGCACAAGTTGTTGCTTGTGATAATGTACAAACGGAAGCTTCTGTTAATGTTGAATGGGGAGATGTGAATTTTTTATTGGAGAGAGATTTTGGTTTTGTGAGGGATGAAGATTTGGGTTTTGTGCAGTAGAGTTTTATGGAGGTGGAAAATTTGAGTTTTGCACAGAGAGTTTAGTGGAGGAAGAAAATGTGTGTTTTGATTGTGAAGGTGTTGGAACCTGGACAAGCTACGGCGATCACGATGTAGAGTCGTGAGTTTGTCAGGGGCAGTCCCACGAAGGGCACATACGTTTAACAAATTGAAAGTCAATGGAAATGACCTTAGATGGAGCTAAGAGGCCCGCGTTATTTATTGGTGTCACTGGTTTCTCAAGGCATGAGAACCGTTGTTGTGTTGGGTCTGGTTCGGACTCAGGCGGTTCTGGTGCCGATGAAGGGTTTGGCTTTGATCGAGTTTCCGTGGAGGAGGTGAGCTTTTACCCTGTTATATTTTCATTTCTATTGTTGGCTGATGAAGGCTTTATGCCGAAACGTCCTTGTTTTTTGTCCTGTTACCTTATTTCAAGCTTCCACATACCTCGTTTCACTATTTCATTCATTTTACCCTGAGGTAGGGTTGGATGAGAGAAGTTTAGTTTTTGTTTATGATGTTTATGATGTTATTGATGTATTATTCTTCGCAAACGCATATTCGACCATGCTGAAACACATATGATGGAGCTGCACTGGCTTGCGGTCCGCGCTCGCATAGAGTACAAAATTGCGCCTTTGTGCTACCACTGCTTACATGACCTGGCGCCATCTTATCTCAAAGCAATCATGACTCCTTATGTACCCACAAGAGAGCTCCGCACATCCGATAGTGGCAAAATCGATACCGTGTGTTCGCCTTGAGACTTACGGAAAGCACACTGTTGCAAGCATTTCCCGGTCAAACAATTTGGAACGCACTTCCAGTCGCTCTCAGAAACAGCCATACTCTGGAGTCCTTTAAAACCAATTTAAAAATACATCTATTTCGCAAACACCTTCTGGGATGATGCTTCTACCATCTTTTTCAGTTAATGTATATTTGCTTGTGTTGCTTATGGTTGAAACGGGATGAAAGACTTTGACTTGGTAAGCTCGTATGTAGTTTTATATTGTTGCGTCTGTTTTAAAATGTGGTAAATTTTATATTGTTTTTATTTCTCTTTTTAATATGGTTGACTTTGTACCGCGCTTCGAGCTTTTGGGGATGAAGCTTGTTTTTCAAATAAACTTTATTATTATTATTATTATTATTGTTATGTCATGAGAGCCGGGAGGGCTCGAGATTAGAGCAATGAAGGATTTAGTTTTGGTAAGGAGGTGAGGTGTTTCCATAAGTTGGGAGGTGAGGTGTTTCCATAAGTTGGGAGGTGAGGTGTTTCCATAAGTTGGGAGGTGAGGTGTTTCCATGAGTTGGGAGGTGAGGACCGTGATTTTTGTTTTACTGGATCGTGTGTGCATTTGATTTGGGGTAATGTGTAGCGATTTTTTTTTTTTTTTTTTTTTTTTGCGTAAGGCATTGTTCAAATTACTTTTGGGAGTTGACTTGATGTTAAGTCTTGGGAGACAGGTGTTATTTGATGAGGAAGTGTTTAGATGGGGAACAAAAATGTGCACGCTTTTTGGAAAGCAACCGACAAGAGACATATCTCGCCCTCTTAAAACTGTATGAACAGACTGGACAATTTATGGCTGTCCACATGGATACACGGATGTTGTTTTTTTTTTCTTTCTCGCTAACAGTCAGAGTTTTTTCTTTGTTTGGTCAAAACTTTTGGGTGTTTCATGTTTCGATTATTATTATTACAACACATGGAATTGTTTTTGTTTGATATTGATGATGGTTATGTATGTTTAGTGTATGATGATATGGCAATGTTGTGAACTATATTGTTTACATTTGGCTTTTGGTCTTAATTTGTAGTGATAAGGATATTTATTGAAAATGCTGTTCTTTATAATTTTTTATTGCACTTTTCTGATGTGTGACATCACTGCTGTGAGTAAATTCAACGAAAAACCGGAGGTGGGGGTTGGTAGAAATGTTATGAATCAGATTGTTGTAAATGTTGGGTAGGGGGAGTTGTTGATCGTGAGAGTGTTTTGTGAGTTGTTGTTCGTGAGTTCAGAGCGTGAATTAGGTTCATGGTGTAAAAAGTTAGTGTATGCTGAGTGTTTTTTTGAGATATAAAAGCGCAGTGTGTTAGTAGACAGTTGGGGAGAGATAATGGGAGATGAGCCAATGAGTCGGAGTTAGTGAGAGATGAGTTCATAGTAGAGGAAAGAGTTTAAGAGTTACTATTATATTCATGGAACTTTGAGAATTGACATTTACTGTGATTGGGTCCTGTAAACAAATAACTGTTATTGTTATATTCATTGGAAGCTGTTTTGCTCTTCATTGTGGACCTGGTGTGGCAGGCAAGTTAAACATACTTTAGTATACAGTTGTCACTCTAGGCCCTAGAAGACGTAGGCCCTAGACGACGTAGGCCCTAGACTACGTGGAGTCTACTGAACGTTCAGTAAACATAACTAATGAGGTATTTGTTGAAGTGTAAGGATGAAGATACTAACACGTGAAGTCTTCAGAAGGCAGTAACATTGGTGAGACTAGACAACGAAAGAAGGTCGTAACAGTACAAATGCAATCATATAATTTTCAAAAAAGACAAGGCGTTACAGACAGAGGTTACAAACTTTAGCTACGCTTCTGATCTGTACATTGATACATAAACTAGCCCTATTTGTACAAATGCAATCATATGAGTTCAAAACAGACTAGGGAGTACATACAGGGATTACAAACGGAGACAATTTGTTTAACTCTACTGTAACGAACACCCTGATATAGTCTTGCTCACCTGTTAATAGCATAACACCAGAATAAATGGGTTAGATATTTGCTAAGCTTAACAATCATCCAAAATACACTGTCATGATGCAAGAAGCACCGTCCCCTTCAATCATATCTATTGATGGCCATAATCTATCGGTTGTTGAGCACTTCACATACCTTGAATCTAATATTTATAGTTCATTCTCAAGTTGATGAAGAGATAAATATCAGGATCGCAAAAGCAGCAGCAACTATGGCTAAACTGAATAAGCGGGTGTGGAATAATATCACTCTAACTGAACAATACAAAACTAAGTGGCTATCAGG